AGTCCAGGAACTTTGACAAGGATGGATAATGCCAGATAAAATTATTTGACCGATTTCTCTTGGGTGATCTATTTTTCAGCTGGAGTATCGATAGAGATATTGTTTAATCGGAAGTATATCGCCAGTGTTAATCTGATGCTTTATGAAACTAGTTTGGCCTATTGGCCTTTTTTCTAGGTAAAAAGATCTAGGTTATTATCTAGAAATTGCTGGAGCCAAAAATGTTGCCTGGACTCCAGACTTCTGATTTTGTAAAGATCTTGCCATTCTTCATAATAATAATCGAAGAGGTCACTAATAGGAGATTCAATAACAGGAGCATCTATAATACACCTATGAGGTCAAGTTGGATATCTTTTTCCTCAAAATAAGCATTTTCTGCTTCAGCATAATAATATTTAACCTTACTTCTATTATTTTTTTCTTTTTTTATTTTTACTCTTCAGTTATTTTTGTCGATTACATCATCTGCATTGGAGTCAAAACTATCTGTTTCAACTTTTAGAGTGCCAAAGTCTAGATAAGAATACCACTCATCTTCGCTAAAACTATCTGAATCGGGGTCATAGTAAACTAAAGAGAGTAAATTATCCAGATTAGGAGGGAGAACAAGAATTTCTCTATGTTGACAATTTTCAATCCGAATAGAAGGCGAACAAGAATTTACAAAGGGCGGGCCAAAGAAGTAGAAGCTAAGAGGTCATAAATATTAATTAGAAGAGAAACAGGGTGGCTTGTATGAGATGCTAGTGTGTTTAATAGAGAAATATTAGTATCTTTATTATTAGAAGTTAGAGGTAGGAGGGCGAGTTAAGGAGAGAATAATGTATGTTGATGGGAAATCTAAAATCAGAGATTTTATTTTCATTTATTTCAGAATATCTATAGATTCTATCCTCTAACTCCTCTTCCTCATATTCTTTATCACTATTCTTCAATTCTTCTTTGGCTTCTTCTTCTTCAGCTTCTTTATTGACGTCACGGACTGTAATAGGGCAGTTATTACCAAGGGGGATATAAGTAATCTTTTTGAATTCCATGTGGAGGGTAAGTTTCTTACTCTTCCAAGTAAGGATCATTTTTGAAGCTATCTAATCGATTCTAGCTTGGGCTTTAGAAAGCCAATCGTTCCCAACAATAGCTTGATATGACCTGGCATCTATAACAATGATATCGATAGAGATTTCTATCCCTCCAACTTTAAAGGAGAAGTTGGATATCTCCCCTAAAGCCCCTCTTACTTTTATCATAAACATTTATCATATTCACCATGGAGGGACATTTGACCTTAATAACTAAATCCTGAAGAAGATGTGATAAACGATACTTCCTGATAAACTACTATCAATGATTAGAAGAATATTGTATCTAGAAACTGGGCATCACAATAAAGGGCGGTAAATTTTTTTTTAGTGCTGATGCTAATATTTGCCTTTACTTTTCTTTTAGTAGGGGCCTTCTTTTTTTGCAGACTCTGACCCAGTTCTCCTTGCAATGCAGGGGTGAT